ACACAGCCCAAGAAAACAAAGATGTGAGTAAATATTCTATGATCCCAGTGTCACAGAACCACTTCCCAAGCACAGCTGTGACATTTCTAACCTGACCTGTTTCCACCAGCACTTTAGCACCCCAACAAGCTCAACTTTGGGAAAACTGAAAATAAGGATTATTGAAAGAAACATTTGTTAATTTATCCAAGGGGAGCACAAGTTCACTGGCACCCATTGTTTTGCCTTTCTGCTCCCTTTGGTTTCTCCCCTCAAGCTGGTAAATGAAACCTACCTAAGAGAAAATTATTCACACAAGCAGCTGGAAAGGCAGGACAGTAGATTTCCTACAGGAATACAATTTACTGCAGTAGCTACAATCACATCTGGTATTTCAAAGCCATTCCAGTGTCACCAGACCCTCAGACAACCATTGGCTCCACTGCTAATTGCATTGCAAAGTTACAGCCCTGAACCCCACGAGTCAGATGAAGATCATATGGCTGCAGAGTCCAGGGAACAAACACCAAATAGTTCCAGGGTCTGGTGATGAGCTCAAGACCTTCTGACCTCTTGGTTACCTGGGTCGGGCACTTCAAAGTGGAATTAGAGCAGAGGACTCAGCATGACACAAATCCCAGTTTGTTTGCTTGACATCCTCTCAGTCCATAGCAAACCAGGGACCTCAGGCAATGAGCAGACAATTAGGTGATGGAGAGAATGACTCAGAGAGCAAGATCCTGTCACTAAAAGGAGAGAGAACCACATTTGGCCAATATGTATAGTTTTGTATTCCACACCCACTTAAGAGTCACGAAAGGTTCAGAATTTGAGGCTGAAATAAGGCTCAAGTCATCTTTCTCTAATGAGGAGAGAATTAATAAAAATCCATCAGGAAAACTCCAGATACGCATTCTGAAAGGATTCTGACAGACTGCATAAATAGGGATATTTATTCATAGATGGCCTTTTACTATTAAGAACAGGCTTTTATTGCATACAGAGACTCACGGTTACTTACAAGAATTAAAACCTCACCTAAGAGGCTGGAGGTTGCTACAGTACAGTGCATTTGTTTTGGGGAGGATCATTTCCAGCCCAGCACAGATGTAGCTGTAGGCCCAGGCACAACACAGGCAGTTATTCTGGACAGAACACATCTACCTGCAAGAGGCCCACACAGACATCTTGAGAGCCAGACATTCAAGTGACCTGTTGGGAAATTGGTAGCCTCAAGGAATAATTGGCAACATATTTCAAGCACCAACACTTTGGGTTTCTCAGGGAAGCAAGACAAGCTGCAGTACTGGAAATCTGATGTCTGTTTAAATATCATTCCCACATCAAAGCAGCTCACCGAGCATGTTTAACTATTCCATGGAATCCACGGCAAAATATGGAGTAAACCATTGGTGGAGGAACAACTGGAACCCAGGTCTTGCTCTTCTGGGCTGTGCTTTGAGTCACAGCATGAAATGGCTAAAGGCCACCTGGCCTTCCATGTCAAAGTCTCTGCCTTTTACAGCTACCAGATACTACTTTCCTCTCCATACCCATCCTCAAGAAACATCACTGCCGTAGGAAGCACTGGGAATTACTGTGACCAAACCTGTAATTACCAGTAGAATGTGGATAATACCTATTTGTACAGTCCTGTTATTTGTAACATCACGGTTCTAATGTTCATTAACAGGAGGAAGTTTTTAGGCTGAAGAGTGTTTTGAAGACCGAACTGCCACAGCTGGACTTGCATCCAACCCGGAGGGCTTTTGTGATTGCACTGTAATGATCCCAGGAAAAAAATTATCATCCTACATTGCTTTTGGGTTCATGTTTTGGGATTTTTTTTCAGCCACCTCCATTTCTCATCCAAAGAGGTTTCCTGTCTGAGCCCTGCATCTATTCTCAGAAACTTCTGACTCTCACAATTAAGTTCACAAGCACTCAATGCATGACTAATTAGAAAGTTCAGGAAAATAGAATGAGGAGTTGGGAGAGCACCAACCCCAAAGACAACTAACACAGAAACAGACATTCCTTGACAACTGAGCTACTTCCAGCATGGGAACAAGCTTCCCTTAACTCAGCAAAGCTTCTCAAAGCTTGGAGGACTATTTCTCCTTGGCAGGCAGCCCCTCCATTCTTATGCTTCCAGTAAGGTCCACTTCCCATTCATTGCCTTAACATAGCAGCAAGTTCAAAACGCATGCACTGAATGGGAATTTCAAGCTAAACTGTGAGGCTGTTGCAGTCTGTGCAATGCAAACAGACACTGCTGCCTGGATTTCAGTCACCAGCACTTGCACATCAGAAGTTCATTTCAAGCACATGCAAAGATAGACTACAAGTGTCTTTGGTCTAATAATCAAGACCTGTTAACTGAAGCCAACCAGAAGCCAAAATATTCATTAAAGGGAAAAAAAAAAAAAAAAGGAAACAAAGAATACATCATTCCTCCAGAACCAGTATTCCATGGCTTCACTTTGAAGAACGTGAATAACCATATTTTTTCCCCTAAATTTCCCTTTACCACCACCCCAAGTTTTTTTAGAGGGCTCAGGGCCTTATTTTTCTGGCAGGAAATATGGTCAGCAGTTCTCAGAGCCTCAGGAGCCCATCTTTGAGCCAGACTGCAACCTAGATACCAAGGGATATATCAGCACAAAGAACTACAGAAACTTCTCCCCTTGGAGAAATACAACTCTTATGACAAGTTAATTTTTAGAAAATCGATAGCAGATTCCCAAACAGCTCAATCACTTGTTGATCAAGGACAGGAAAAGACAAGCGCAGAAATATGGTGTGTCCTGTATCAAGGAAAGCTGTCAGCTGTACAGCATCTCATCAGTATGTGCTGCAATGTACCAACACCTGGAGCTGCAGCACAAACTTTCAAGGCTCTGTCCCTGCTTATTTATGACTCAGTAAAGTGCCAGAAGTCACTGGACAAAGCACACAATGGGAAGGTTCAAGAAGAGAAAGTGAGAATGGCCATATAGTGCCATTAATAGCAATCACCTTCTCACCATCTTGTTTTTCCAGGGCAGAGGCCAGAAAGCTTTGCTGTGATGGAGCTGCTGTTGCTTCACATAATTCAGGTGCTACCAAGATCCCATGTTTCAATGGCAAAAGGGACACATAAAAACCTGTCTATATCAGTCTGATTCAGTCCTCGAAAAAAGACTTTGCACCCGTATAGATTAATGTCAGACTTGGAGCAAAAAGCCTCACTCCTCTCATGGACCACATTAAATCCAGAAAAGTCCAGCTATCCCAACCTGAAGCTGCACCCGGCAGGAGACTTCCCTCAAAGGTCCAACACTGTGGCTGGAGAAAGTTTTCCCACAGAGATTTTCCCATCAGAAAGTGAAGCTGTTCAACATTTGCCAACAACAAAACTTCACCACTCAAGGGGAAATTAAAACATACAAAGATTGCTTCAATGTGTGATATTTGACTGAGCACTTGAATTTTTCTTTCACAACATCCACTGGTGATTTTTTCGTCGCTTCAATTTTTTACTTCCCCCTCTGCAATAAACTAGAATAGGAGATTCTCCCAAGGCGAAGTTCCATCGGGCATAAAAAATAAATTTAAAAAAATCTACCAGCTTTCCCCAACATTATTGTTTAAATCAGGTTTATGTGGTTTGACACAACACTTTGTAGCCTTGGAGAGAGACATGTTCCCCTGACAAAGCATCAGCTATCCAAACCACTGAGACACAGGAAAACTGGGAAAGAGTGGGAACTGGGGAAGGTCTTTGGTGAGCAGAGTCCACATTTATGTAAGCGTGGTAGCTCTGAACAAAGATCTGCAAGCTAATAGATATGTAAGACAAATGACATGTGGTTCTCATTGCAGCTCATGCTTTGGGAAGGGGGTACCTTGGAAGAGATCCAGCTTGGATAGGTTTATCCCATTACTCTCCTGTAATTTTCTGCCGTTTCAAACCCTTTGACAGTTGCTGTGGTTTAACATCACACCCCCTGCAGCCCCAGGTCTGTCTGACAGCGCAGCGGACAAAGCCACCTCCCCCGGAGGGAAATCCGCACCATATGCGAGCCCCTTGCAAGGCACAGGGCTGGTGCTCGCCCCTGTACCCCCGACACGGAAATCCACGGGGTCCATGCCTTTTCCCAATCCCCAGCCCAAATAAGCGGTGCTAACAGCAGCACAACTCACGCAGACTAGGTATTAGCAAGGGAGGAGGAAAAGAGGTAGAGACAGGATGGACGAGCCCTGAATATTAAATCTCAAGTCCCCATTTAAGGGAATGACAGGGGGGAAAGAAAGAAAAAAGTGTAATTCAAGAACAACTGGAATCAGGTTAAGCCACTCTCTTGCTTTATACAGTGCAGCTCATTCATCTGAACAGCTGTTTCACCTCTAGAGAAATACCCAGAGAAAACAGAGGGGAGGGGGAGAAGCCTAAATTGTTTGCTCTACTGAAGCAGCAAGATACAGTAAATCAAACCTGATTTATATTAAGTTTATAAGAAATTGGGTTGGGGTGGGGGGAGAGGAGAAGAGTGGGAGGTATGGTTTTAAACAGCTACTTGGAAGTTGCAGCTCTTGAAGAGAGATCTGTAATTAAGGGCTTTCCTTTGTTGAGCTGAACAAGTTTTTCCTCGCAGCCGAGGGCTATAACAGTTCCCTCTGCCGGCATCCCCAGTGTCCCGGCTCAGGAGGTTTTCCTGCTCCGGCTGCGCACGGACGCGCAGCCCCGGCAAAGCCCCTTCCCCTCCCCGGCGGGCTGGGCGCGGCAGGGGGAGACTTTGCGGGTGTCATGTACCCAAACTCAGCTCCTCGACTCCCCAGCCGCTCCCTGCCCCAGGAGGCGGACGCTGCTGCGGGCAGGTAGGGAGCGTTCCGCACCCCACTGAGGATGCGGGCAGCCCAGCCCGGCCCTGCACCCTGCGAGGGACCGCTGCCCGTGGCTTTGCCGTGTCCGTTTGTCCCCCCGGAGCCACCGGTGGGTCGCAGCCTCCTCGCCCGGAGGCGGACCCGGTCTTACTCACCGGCGACTGGCGAAGCCGCTGCCCGGCGAGCCGGAGCTCTGCTCTGGGTAGTTGTGCTGCAGGGTTGATGCTGGGAATTGATAGAGGAAGCCGGTGCCCAGCGCGCATCCATGCAGGCAGCAGCACCAGGACAAGAAAAGAGCGAGCTGCATTTTTGCAAGAACGGGGATCTCCTACCGCCTCCGCCTTTCCCCTGAACACCGCACGGCAGGCGCGGGGCCACACCGTGCTCCCCCGGCCGGGGTCACGGCGGGATCCCACGGCACGGAGGAGCCCCGGGGCAGGGGGGCAATGGCGTGCCGGGCACACGGGGATGGCTGCTCCGGCTGCCCAAGG